TGTACCTGATTTGGCGATTCTAGCTCTCAAAGGGCACCCGGGCTGGGTGGTAACTCGCCCGAGTCCCACTCCGCGGGCTCCGCGCCCAACACAAACTCAAACAGACCTCCCTGCTTGTTCTCCCCAAGTAGGTCATCGTGAGTGACCCAACTCTTGTTCCACTCCTTTCCGTTTACCTTCAGACTTTGAACATACGGGCCTTGCTCAAGACCAGTTGCGGTGATCCGCAAGAGCCCGCCATCAGAGCCTAGACGGATACTAATTTCCTCGAATCGCGGCGAGAGAACGAGATAGACAGGCTGCGTGACAACCGGATACAGGCCGAGCATGTTCCACACGAGCCAGCTGCTCATACTTCCCGCATCATCATTGCCGGGGATGCCGCTCGCGCCGACGTGGTAATAGTCGTCGACAATATGCTTGCTTCTCATCACGCTCTTCCATTGTCGGCCTCCGACGTAGTTATACAAGAACGGTGTCATGAAGCTCGGTTCGTTTCCGGGGTTATAAATCATATCTCCGATTCCGTTGTTTCCTTGATCCTGCTCGGCCAAGCCGGGTATAAAGCTCGTGTCGAGTCTATGCTCAAAGCTGACGGGACCTCCCATCAAGGTGATCAGGGTGGACATGTCGTGCGGTGCAGTGAAGCTGTACTCCCATGGCGTGCCTTCATAAGAGATGGCCTCCCAGTTACATTCTCCGCATTCGAGTGGGCTATAGCCTGGTAGAACTGTACCGTTGGGTTCGAGGGGAGCGAGAAATCCGGTGAAGTTGAGTGCCTTAGCATCTTTGAGCCAGATCTTTTGCCAGCCACTGATACGGTAAGCAATGGCCCTCATGACATAGATAAGGAGAGGGAAACTTACGTGGAACGGTTCAGATAGGTTGCCGCCTCCTCGGGTGCCTCACCCTTGGCAATTTGTGACACAGCAAAGTCATTGAGAGAGTACTCGACGGTCTTGCTGACGCTTCTGCCATAGTTGACAGATACGTAACCATACTTCTTCCAGTCATCCAAGGCACCCCTTCCCTCCTTGGTGCTCCCTGTTGGGTCATTGAAATCAAAGTTGTTGTATGGCTGTACCTCGGCGTTGGTCCGCACAGCGGCATATCCATCCGCCCAGTTGATGAACCCATCAGCGTCAAGCTTCTTGACATAGGCATCTGCAAGAACATTGTCGGAGTTAGAGCCGCCTTGGACTCGGCCATTGTGGTTGTGACTGCGACCCTCCGGCAGGAACCGCTCGTGGCGCCAGATGTCAATCATGGCTCGGACTGATTTTGTAAGCATCTGTCACAATCATTGGGACTCCAAATACTTACTCATATCAACCTGACGGCTGGGTAAGATCAACGAGATGAGTGCGTGAGTGCAGCGGAAGGTGTCCCAAAGCGTGTAAAAGTCGTCGTAATACGGCTCTTCAGTCGCCCAGTGAGGGTTTTCGCCAGTTCGGTCGGAAGGCATCAGGTGCGCATGGTAAAGTCCAGTGTACAGCATTTCCAACTGCGTCTGGTTATCAGTCTTGACATCAACCTTGGAGAGTACTTCTTCGTTCCATTGAGACTTTGCGTCGCTGACCGTCTGATTGAGGTCATTGTGGGGAATTTCATCTTTGATGAATTGACAAGCTTTCTCGGACGAGATCCACGAAATTCCAACTTTGGAAGTCAGGGTTGTGACACTTGATGGGAACGTAAAGATGCCTCCAACTCGGTCGGCATACTGGTATCCATCCACGCCGCCTTTAATCGACGTGTCGTTATTATAGAATGGCTTGACGTCTGTGGTATTCGGCCAATATGGGTCCGTGTAAATGCCAGAGAAGAGCCCGACGTCTTCGGGCACGCTATCAAACTGTCCACAGAAGTAGACCTTGAAGTCGCCGCCTTTCCGAGTCAACGTCAGCTGTCATCTTCAAGACACACTGCATACTAACTCACCAAGAGACCAGCCTTCCCTGTACACACCATAACCAGTGTACGAAGAACCATCGTCGCTGCGTTCCAAAAGACCATTGCTGTACCATTGAGACTCCTTGCCACGAGTTGGGAGATAGTGGCTTAAGTCTACCAAGATGTGACGGCCACCGTCTCTAGGGAACTCATACTTGATGATACCAACGTGCATGCTGGCGCTCATCTCAGCTATGACGCCACTTTCCAGAGACGTCTTGTAGTATCCAACCTCGGCGACGTCGTGCTCAGCTCTTGGTTGCATGTAAGTCAAGTTGTCGAGTAGATTGACCCCTTCCAAGGTTGTGAGAGGCATTTGTGGGATCAGCCCGTAAGTCGGAGCGCCCCCGGTGCCGCTGACGTGCAACATGGAAATTGCTGTAACATTTCCTTCAACGGTGTAACCCGCATTAGCTTGATACCTGGTATCCCATCTCGTAGTGTCGATGCCGATTTTCACGGCTCCGAACGGAAGCGTTACGCCGGGGAACGTGTTCCCGCCTTGATAAGATGACCCAGGCTCGGGGCCCTCGGTGCCAAGAAATGGGTCGACGTATGGCGTGTAGTCTTTTGCTTGCGCAAGTCCGGATAGTCCGGCCACAGCGCCACTGAGGCCAATGGCAAACTTGTAAAGCACTCCCATGATCGTCGCATTCACGTTGCAGGGAGGGCATCAAGAACCTACATCCCACCGGCTGATGCGGATAGCCGCTTCTTATTACATTTTGGCGGGTAGCATTGACCCGAAGCGTTGGATTCTGGAGTGGTGATCTACAACCTTGGAAGTTGTTTATATCCACTTTCCCCGCATACGACAACAAACGTGATGGGGAAGTGCCGGTAGACGATGCTTGGATTGGTTAGTGCGCCGGCATGGTTAGATTATCGCAGCATGTTTTTTGTGTCCCCTCTGCTTGGCAGGCCCGCTCCAGTCTGGATGATGCAATTATTTCTCGATTGCCTAACCGAAGCTCCAAGATCTTTGTCGTAGGATCGGGTAATATTCATGTTAGACAAAAAAGCAATCGAGTTGACACATATTCTCGACGTATCCTTTACTTCGATTATGGGCCCTGCAATGACCTTCTCCAAGCGTCGCATTGCCGCTAATCATGATGGGCTTTCTGAGTTTACGGTTAAATTCAAAGTAAATCACTTGATTCATCCACAGCCCCGTCTCCGTGGGGCAGCGCCGGTGCCGGACCCCGCTACACCAGTCATTCAAATCGCGAAGATGCAGAGAACGAGAGGTTGGGTCGCCTTATGCCACGGGATGAGCTGCCGTCATCCTATGGGAAAACACGATAAAACACGGTCACGGGAGGAAGACAGGGTACTTTCAATTTATAGAACCCCGTGTCATAGGCACCCAGTAGTCATGAACTCTTGCGTTTTCTGAAGTCATGCTTGATTCGAAATGCGACAACATCTTGGAGTATGTTAAACACGCTCAATGAGCCAAGGTACTGTTACTACTCTATAAATGGCAAATCCCGGATCCAACCTCTCCGCGAGGCTAGTTTTCAGGCAAGCACTCCAGGAGCAGAGCCTTGTCCCTCTGCAATGCCTCTTCAATTGAACCCAGAGGCATGCCGTACATTTCGCCGACATTCTTTGAAGACTCAATACCCCAGCCGAGATCCTTCACATTGGACATTTGATGGAACTTCTGGCCAAACACGCTGATCCCCAGCTTTTCCAGCTCCTCGGGAGTTCGCTTGGTCACTCCTACCTTTCTGCCGCTGACCTTGACGAGAATGTCACGCACTTCCTCCATGGTGAGAAGTTCATTTCCCATATTGATCTCTTGGCCATTGAACTTGGTCGGGTCCTGCAGAGCTGCTGCAGCGTACTTGCCAACGTCGTTGGTGTCCGTGTAAGGCACACGAGCACCGTTGAGAAGAACGTCGTCGATTTCTCCATGAGTAGGGAGCCGAGGAAAGTTGCCGTAAGCACCCGGTACGAAGAAGTCGAAATGGAGGACAGCCGGACGGAGAATGGTGTACGACGTGAACCCTCCGGTCCGGACAATTTCCTCGACTTCCGCCTTGGAGGAGAAGTACTGGTGTAGCTGGAGTCCCTTGATGATATCATCATCCCAGAAAGCTCTGTTCCCTGTGCCGTGGGTCGTAGCTGCGACAACAGTTTCGATGCCGGCTTTCTGGCATGCTTCGACGATGGTCTTGGCCTGCAAGGCCTCCAGACCCGGGTATGGGACCGTGTTGAGGAAAGCTCCTTTGCAGCCTTGGGCCGCTCGAAGAACATCTTCCAAGTTCTTGCTTTCTCCTTGAAAGAGGGTGATGCTGGGATGTTGAAGGCTGGGGTGGACTTTCTGAAGGTCGCGAACCACTGCGTGGATCTTGGCACCCGCCTGGAGAAGATGGGAGATGACCGAGCGGCTCTGCTGGCCAGTTGCTTGGGTGATGAGATAGGTAGTCATGTTGACTGTGTCTTATAGATGGTTGGTGTGATTTGAAGGTATTGGAAGAGCAGAAAAGTGATGCTGTGGATGACTCTGAGATGAATATCTGTTCAACATTTCGAGGTCGAAAGCGATCATTTATATCCAGGTAAAAGGCTTTTTGCATCGACTCTGTAGCAACGAAACGCCGCTTCTCTTGATTCATAATGCTCAGTGATTTGCGCATACTGAGGATTTGCTGGCGCCCAATCGTCGCGTTTGTCGCAAGAGGTGACGGGTGAAAGTGAAGTCCGAAGTCAGCAAACCGCCCAAAACGGACAAGCGGCGAGATGCACAAAGCTCTTAGTCTCGATAAAAGTTGCTTCCTGTGGGGTAAGTGATAGATGGGAAGGATTCGGGGATCCTTTCGTAATGCATCTTTAAGAGGCTTAGAAGGATAGCTTACAAATGGCTAGTCTTCCTTGCCTGCACGCGACTACATAAATGTCAGCGACCCAGCGACAGCAACTTTCTCCGAGCCTAAGCTTCTGGGATTCTCGTGACACATTGAGAACTGCGACATCTACCGATTCGACCCGACAACGGTGGCCACTGAAGTCTGGTCTCACCAGAAGATGCCGGCCCACCTGTTGCCGCAATGAAGACACGAAAGTGCTGCTGGACGTGCACAGGTCAGTCAGTAACGCGTGCAGGTATCTGGATTGGGCTTTGCTTACGACGCGTCTTCAGCTCGTAAGATTCAATGCGACGGGACTCTGCCAACCTGCATGAAGTGTGACAGATCCCAGCGAAAATGTGAAGGATACGAGCTTCGATTGTCGTGGCCGAGGGAAGGCGACAACAAACGAGCGCTGAAGGGTATTGAAGCACCAGCAGTGACGGCCATTGAACGGTCGAACCCAAATGTCGTCAATCCCTTTTTCGTGAATGCAACTTCGCATCACATGGAATTGTATGGCTATTCGGCCCTGCAGAGCCATGGCTGCCATACAACGCCATCGTTTCCAAGGCTCCTGAGGCAGCCCCAAGTTGGAGTCGGTTCATCTTCTATGGATACAGACCTTTTCCATCACTGTAAGCTTAGAAACACACAATATCCAGCCCTGGTCTTCATGGTTGATAGTCGTTCTAGTTCAAAACTTTGCCTACAGATCATTGGTCACATTCGGTCAGAATACCTGGAAAATTCGAAATGCGCTGATGAGCATGGCCCTAACCAAAAATTCAAATTCCGGGCTTGCTCTTCGCAATGCGTTACTTTCTTATGCTTCACTACACCGCCATGGGCTCAATGAACAAGCCTTGAAGCTAAAGATACAGGCAATTCGCTATCTATCAACCTCAGTGACCAGCGAGGCCTTGATCTTGGGGAGAGCGGCTCAGCACGTGGCTGCGTCTATGGTTCTCGGAGCTTTTGAGGTGAGTGGCAGCTCCGTCGCCATCATACCGCCTCTTTGCTTAATTGATTTCTATTGTATAGATAATGCAACCTTTGGAAGGCTCGGGCGAGTGGCTTTTGCACACATGGGGGGCTGTTGACATGATTCATGCCACTCGACTACAAGACGAACCGCATGACAGCGACGTTGGTCAATTGTTGAGCTGGGCTTACTATCATGAGACCCAATCTCGGTTCGCTTTGCACCATTGGCGCCACAAGTCGTTTATTCCTCCGAAATCAGTCAAGCAGAATGCAGTACTTCAGAATCCCCAGTATCCCCCTTTAACGAGATATAGACCCGTAAGTTCATTCTCTCATGACCATCCATTGCTTTCCCCCTGATAGCCCTGGCAGAATATACCGCCCGTGAATCCGACTTATGCGATTCTCAATTTGCTTTCCGAGGTTTGCGACACGCTGATAGATCCTCGAGATCCTCGAAGTCAGGACGAAAGTTACCAGAATCAGCTCAAGGACCTTGGTGGAAGAGTCCGAGATATCTCTGTCAAACCAGCCATCCCATCGGCTTCAGATCCGGAGGCCGCCTTCGCTATCGAACTGTACCAGATGGCAACACAGATCTATCTTGTGCGAGCCTCACAAAGCCCATGGGAACCCCCTGCGGACCTCGACGCTCTGGTGGAGGCGGCTTTTGCGGGACCTGTTCAGTCATGCACCTGCGAACACTTCTTTCCTCTACTGATTCTTGCTTGCGAGGCACGATGTGACGAACAGAGGATCGGCATCATCAACTTAATCGAAAGAACCCAAAGAGATATTCGAATACGAAGCATTCAAGCAGTCAAGAATACGATACAGTCCATCTGGGTGCAGCAGGATCTGCACAAGGATGACGATGTGTTGGTGGACTATCTTGGCACTTTGAGTTCGGCGATCAGCTCCAGCAATACTGTACCATCATTCGCATAGATTGCATAACATAATTGAACAACAGTAATGGCAGCGAACTCACCGGAGTTAATACAGGGAATGCAATAGTATCGTCATCCCGAAGTCTTCAACCACAGCCGCCCAACTAATGTTGTTCATGAAACCCTCTCAGGAGCAGTGATAAACGAGGCGATTGTCTAGCATTACTGTTAACCCTGCTTCTCAGTCTATACCACGCGGAGTCTGAAATGGGATAGACGTTGGCAAGGAGTAGAAGAGGTAAAGTTTGCCCAGAACTGAGGAGAGGGGGGAAGTCTTACTTTTAGGGATAGCCTCATCCCTTAATATGAGTAAGATGTGGGTTTCTGCCCGTGGCGGCTATCATCATTCTGGGTCCGAGATTTTTCAGCAGTCAAGTTGCTTTGGTTCTGTTTGACGGAGTTGGGGTGCTTTTCTCAGTCCGTCTGCGCTAAGAACACATTTTGCTTCCGTTTCACTGTAAGCCTCTTACAAGCCCGGAACCAAAATACATCCGGTCTGCTTCACGGCTCGAATAACGCCACGATCGTTTGCGGAACATCAATAATCTCGATACCAAGACTCTGACTCGGAACCATTATTTCCAACTACATATGAGAGCTATCGTTCGCACTTTTTCTAGGCTACTTGGCGATACACCATAGGATAACAAGACGATATCTCTCAACCGCAACCAATTCTACTCGATTAACCTCCTGTGTATCACCTCTATTTCTGTCTCAAATATCCAGCGCAAAAATGCCCTCTCTGACCCGTATTGCTCACATCGGTGTAAGTCCTATAAGATCCAACTATTGAATCAGCTGCTCACAGATACTAGGCTGCTGGCTCCCTAGGCGCGGCTGTCCTCAAAGAGCTCGTCGACGCCGGTCTCGAGGTTACTGTGCTCTCCCGCACCACAGGAAAGCTCCCCACGGAACTCTCATCGAAAGTCAAAGAAGTCGCCGTCGACTTCACATCAAAGACCGCCATTGCGGAAGCGCTTAAGGGCCATGAAGCCGTCGTCAGCACCATTGGATCAGCTGGACTTTCTCTCCAGGAGACGGTGATCGAGGCCGCCATTGACGCAGGCGTCACTCGCTTCATTCCTTCAGAGTTTGGCAGTGACCTGCAGAACCCTCTTGCGCGTGCACTGCCCGTATTCGCCGACAAGGTCAAGATTGAGGACCTCCTAGAGAAGCGGGCCGCAGAGACGGGCTTGTCGTACACATTCATCTACAACAACCTCTTCCTCGACTGGGGTCTGAACGTTGGCTTCATTGCCGACGTGGCTGGAAAGAAGGCCACCATCTACAATGGAGGCTCATTTCCCATCAGTGTGACGAGGCTTTCGACCGTCGGAAAGGCTGTCGTTGGCGTACTGAGAAACCCCGACGCGACGAAGAACCAGACGGTTCGCATCCACGACGGAAAGCTGACGAAGCGCGAGATTGTGGAGGCCGCGCAGGGAGTGACGGGCGCCGAAGGCTGGGCAATTGCAGAAGAGAATACGGCAGACGTGCAGGCGAAGTCAGACAAGGCTCTTTCTGAGGGTGTCTTTGACGAGTGGGTATGGCTGGGATACATTATTCGCGCCTCGCAGACTGAGGAGGCGAAGCCCGGCTACAAAAGTGTGCAGAACGACCTGTTGGGTCTGAAGGAGCACTCGACCGAGGAGATGAAGGCTTTGGTCCAGGAGATTGCCAAGTCTATTGTATCTGCTTGATCATCTAGCTACGCTTTGTTTTATGGTTCCCTTTCCACCTAGTCGAGGATATCTAGGTTGAGAAGCTAGAGGCACTCAATTTTGTGATGACAATGATCCTGCTATCTTTAGGAAGAATAATGGATGCATTTCACTAGGGATGCGCATACAGTGGCTTTAGGGAGTTGATTTAATTACATAGAAGTGTACGTTCAACTCATAGAAAGTAGGATTTCATTCAATGTCTGCGTCTTCAGCATGGCCTAGATCAGTGTGATTGAGCGCACTTGTGGATGACTGATCTCCAAAACTGATGGCGATCATGCCTTTCTAATAGAATTACTGATGATCGTCGTTATTGGTTTACTTCATGTTCCTACCCAAAGACCCAAGACAGACAGCAAGAATAGGCGTACCATAATTCAGGTTGTGTAAGGTACAGAAGCAAACCTGTTGCAGACGCAGATACCCCACCCTGTCCGCAACATATTGCGAACGTCATTCCATCCTGACTGAAATACGAGTCAATGTCGCTCTCGCTCACACCCGCGCGCATCGATGGCGTTAATGTAGGTCGCGGCGGCATGTGGCAACTCTTCACTGCAACTTTAGCTCCCCCCAAAGGCTTCTCATTCAAACGATATCCCTTATTTGGGACGCGCCCCATCCCCCACCATGGCAGCAGACTGATGCCAAAATTACTTCACTGCAACGATCTGACCCCCAAAGAGGGGATCACAGCGGTTGAGGAGCTTTACATAGAGGGCCTAACAGCATTAGCAATACTAGTGGTGCCGTGTTTCCCCCTACCAATGTTGGAGTTTACTGCATCTTTACCCCGGCGCAGGTCGCACTTCAGAAAGTGCAAAGCTGAGAAGGTAATTAGGTCTGACACAGCCTGTTGCACAGAGACCGAGCTATTTGTGCCCTGGGTACCTAGCTAACATCGCGACTCGAGACACTCCAGCACGTCCTAACGTTCACTTGGGTATGATGTCTGACTCAGCGACAGGCTGATTTGCGTAGCCATAATTTTAGCTCAGGGTCTTCATGGGTTGATTTGGCCGTACCGTCGGACTTTCCAGTTGAGTCTCAAGGCCCACTCGCCAGGAAGGAGCTCTTGCTACGAACGACTCATGGTGTTACCAGCTTCAGAAGATTTTTCAAAGTCAATTCCAAGCTTTGTATGCAATCGAGTAAGAAAGTCTAGTCTTTGTATGGTGCTGCGGTTGTTCCCACAGGTCGCGGTCCCTTACGCGGCATGGACAATGCGCTTTCGACTCATGGACGTTTTTTTGCAATGCCAATTCACACTCTAAGCCCCTACGGATGAACGGCAACTCAATCCCTTCAGATGAGAATGCTTTGACTTCTGGCCAAGGCGCAACAGCCGAGTAGAGTGAATTATGGTATGTTCAGCCCATCAGAGACTTTCCACGTGGTCCCTAAACCCTGAAACTGCAGTACTCTATGTAACACTCGTACCAACAGAGAATGGACGAACACGAGCATTCGGTCCCTCAGATTTTGTATCAATGACATCGAATAACACACATCTAACCGTATGGGAGACCAATCCTCTGATGGTTGTAAACCAATCGAGCAAAGGTGGTCAACTCTGGTCGGAACGACCGTGTTAGTGTTCCTCGAATGATGAGATCCGTACGCGTACATGAGCATCTGCAACAATAGTCAAAAGCTTATTACCATCGTCCTGGAACCATCGTGGCTCTGCTCTCTGGGGCTCTTCTCATCGGGGCCCAGAATCGGATAGTGTGGTGGACGTGCACAATTTAGCTGTTTCTTAGCAACGCGGTAAGCAGATGAAATTTGTCTCCTCTCGTGTGTTGCCTTGAACCTTAACTAAGCACGCGCTTCCGATTTCCCGAGAATCAAGCTTTCAGAGGATCTTTGAAAGGCAGTCGAGTCAATTTCTTAGCAGGCAACCCCCTACAAATTGACTCGGGGCTGGATCCGTCATCCGAGCTTTCCAAGCGGATTGGGATGAGATGGCAATTTCAGGCGACGAACGCCGTCGGACTTACAAGCGAAGGGGCAACGATGCATCTCGGGGTTTGAACGAAGTGAGTATATAGATGAGCCTTATACTTCTAAATTTACTCACGAAGGAATGTTGATATTCGCTTTTCAAGTCTATTCCTCAAGTCCGTTCTCCAAGTCATTCTCTTAAGTCTATCTTTAAAGCCCTCTTCAAGCCACTCTTGGAAGAGTTGAACTTACAACCTCAACGCCACTATGAAGTGCACCTACATCCTCCCGCTCATCGCCGCCACCCTAGTCGCCTCCTCAGTCCTACCAAGCAAAGATCTGAGTACGTGACTTATGATATCACCACCCTGAACTCATTTACTGACCAATGCCTTAGCCGAAAGACAAGCCAAGAAGTGCAAAACCTTTCAAATCTTCAGAGACCCGGATGCCATCACCGGCGGCAGCCCCAACTTCGTAGGCACGCCGCAATGCTGCTGCCAAAACGAGCAGTGCCACGTCATCGACCGCGTCAACGGGATCAACACCTCGGCGAACTTGAACGATTTCCTCGCGGGTACTTTCACTATAGAGGATGCTCGAGGGCAAGCTAAGGGAACGCCTGGATCGAATGATATTCGGGGGGCTACGTACACTGTTGGAGCGCAGGGTGGGTGTAGCAAGTGAAGGGGGTTGTGATGAGTGCAAAGTGTTTAACGATGTAGGGGTGATTCTAGAATACCCTTGACTAGTACAGAGAGAACAGAGAGAAGAGGATCTTCTTGAGCGAATGATTGTGAGAGTAGATGCGTAGAGCCGCATGCCAAGGTCGCTAGACCAGATCCAGCGTCAGGACGTGTCCTGACTTTCACTGCATTTTTGGCCGCTCCAGAAGGGCTCGTTACCATCCAACCGATCAAACTGATTGAATTTTTCAAGCTACCAAGAGCCTCTGGGGTTGCAACCTAATGGCCTCTTCAGAGCATCTCGATTCCGCCTTGACAAGACCTCGCCTTCTCATAAGAGGACAGGTGCATATCTAGGCACCACCTCACTAAGTCTACTATATCGTATGAAGACACCTTCTAGAGGGAGGAATAATACTATCCAAAAAAAAGAAAAAAAAAAAAAAACAAGCCTTTCAAGGTGGGTGACTAAGTGTTGTGTTCGGGTCAACTTGGCTCTCGACGAGTACGGCTGACTTTGACACTCTCTTAGCCTTCGAGAGATCTACCCAATCTCATCGCGCTCCAGTTTCGCCTTGGAGGCAGCCCTGAATCAGCGGCGGCATGAAATATGCAACTAGGAAAGCAGGCTGTCCTTGAGC